GCTGTGTTACTTTTTGTATGTTTTGTTTTGTTTATTTGCCTGCACAGCACTTTGGTCTGGAGGTTTAAAGTGCTATATAAATAAAGCTGTATTGTATTGTATTTGGAAGTTGTTGTATCCATATCTGAAGTGTGCATTACTGCACTGAAAAAACTGAAACGTTGACATGAATTTAAATGTATATGTCAACACATTTCACATAACTGTATTAGGTTAGTTAAAAGCAATAATATTCAATTTTAAATAAAAAATATTAGGTTCAACTTAATATTATTGTTGATAACGTTGAATGTTTTCAGTGTAATGACATGATGTTCTATTAACATTACTGTCCTCAGAAACATTGAGTGTGTATGAGGACTCCAAAACATGGTATACATATTTTCGTGGTATTGGTCGTGCATGTCAGAAAACAGCGCTTTCATATTTCAGAGCAGACAGTGAGAACACACACTCTTCCTGTTTATTGTAAACATCATGTGATGTTTGCAGGCGGCAGAGTGTAAACTAAATATGAATGTGATGTGAACACAGGGACACACTCAGAGGGGACGCTGAGACAAAGACATGAAAGGACAGCGATGAGCAGCAGGGCCCAGCTGGAAGGAAGCTGAAAACACCCGCAGGTTAATTTGCACATTTTCTCCTGAGAGTCGAACAAACAGCAGCTGCTTCTGTTTGATTTGAACTTTCTGCTTGCAGGAAAAACTACTGTCTTCTGTATGGAAAATAAATCAAACAATGTGATGTTGCCGTTGTCTGCTGATTAGCCCTGTGTTCATCCAAGTCCTGTATTCCAGTTTGAGCAACATCTACGCAGAGTAGAATTTATTTAGCTTTTGCAGCAGGATAATGAGTAACTTGTGATGTTCTTCATACGACTATATACTATAGTCTATACCAGTGGTTCTCAACTGGTTAGGCCTCGGGACCCACTTTTTACTTGGTCAATACATCGCGACCCAACATTTTGAAGCACTCAAATCTATTCAACAAAAAATCGTGCTGTAATATATACGCTTTTCAGAATACAATATTAATAAAAGTGAAGTACAGTACATATATCCCTTCACAGAACTAAAGTATGCTTTTAAAAAAGGTTTAATGAGATGATGGAATCAAAGCTGAACTATATAAAAAGGCACACATGCTGAAAACCCAACCCCAGCAGGGGGGTCTGGGGGGATTCTCCCCCAGGAGATTTTTAGAAATACTAACATAAACTACGCATTCTGGTACACTCTGAGAAGAAAATAAATAAATCTATTACTACCCGACATATTAATAATATTCTATGCCATTGTTTGTTTTTCACTTAGTTCTGACAGCTTGCTGAGAGAAGAGTAAAGAGGAGAGAGTCTGTGTGACTTACTTTAAATTGTGGGTAAGGGTAGATAGCTCCCATTGTTCTGTGACTTGTCAATCATCAAACCGGGGGTCATATTTCATTATGTGTTCATTTTTATCTGAAGTTGTACCCATGGATGTATAAAGAATAGTTCTACCGCAAAGTTATTCTCCGTGGGGACTTCCGGCAACAATCTTGATTCTGATTGGCCAGAAGACTCGAAAAAACATCAGCAGAGATGTTTTATTGAGAAGATGATCACTACGTGACAGAAGTTTTCAAAACCATTTATGGTCTCCGGTACTTCCAGTCCAACGCCTACTGCGTGCACAGCATTAGAAAATCGGTCCTTCAAAATAAAAGTTTGCATTTTTTCCCAAAAAAAAAAAAAAAATTCCAATTTTTTTTTTCAACTTTTTTTTCTTCACTCACACATCCGCGACCCACTTGAAACGGGTCCGCGACCCACTTTTGGGTCGCGACCCACCAGTTGAGAACCACTGGTCTATACTATATCGTAGGCAAGGCAAGGCAAGTTTATTTATATAGCACCTTTCAACACAAGGCAATTCAAAGTGCTTTAAAAAAATGAAAGACATTAAGAAAATGGCATTTAAAAACAGTCATTAAAAAGAAAAGATAATAAAATAAACATTAAAATAAAAAATACATGAATAAAAGTTACAGTGCAGTTTAAGATGTGAATAGTTCAATTAAAAGCAGCGACAAAAAGAAAAGTCGTCATCCTGGATTTAAAAGTAGTCAGAGTTGCGGCGGACCTGCAGGTTTCTGGGAGTTTGTTCCATATATTTGGAGCATAATAACTGAATGCTGCTTTACCATGTTTAGTTCTGACTCTGGGGACAGAAAGCTGACCAGTCCCTGAAGACCTGAGAGATCTGGATGGTTCATAATTTAGCAGTAGGTCAGACATGTATTTTGGGCCGAAACCATTCAATGCTTTATAAACCAGCAACAATATTTTGAAATCCATTATTTGACAAACAGGAAGCCAGTGTATAGACTTCAGAGCTGGACTGATCCACTTTCTTAGTGCTCGTGAGGACCCGAGCAGCAGCGTTCTGAATCAGCTGCAGCTTTCTAATAGATTTTTTAGTGAGACCTGCAAAGACACCATTACAGTTAGGGATGCTCCGATCGATCTGCCGCCGATCGATATCGGCCGATACTCACTCTCTGCCGATCGATCAGTGCTCTCTAAAAATGCCACGGCAAAACAACCTGGCCAAAATGGCTTCACTAGTCTGGCAGTATTTTAAGGTGTCCGAAAATGACAATAAAATAGCGGTATGCAACGTGTGTGTGAAGCAGAAATCCTGCAGCTCCACCCGCTGTGACGGACCTGTGAGTTAGTCTTTTAATCCTCGATATATTCTTAAGGTGATAGTAGGCTGATTTAGTAACTGTTTTAATGTGACTGTTGAAACTCAGGTCAGAGTCCATGACTACACCTAGATTTCTGGCTTCATCTGTTGTTTTGAACATTGCAGACTGAAGCTCAGCGCTAACTTTTATACGTTCTGCCTTGGCTCCAAAAACCATTACCTCAGTTTTATCTTTGTTTAATTGGAGAAAGTTCTGACACATCCAGTCATTGATTTGTTCAATGCACTTACTCAGTGTTTGAATTGGAGCATAATCTCCTGGTGAAATGGTTATGTAAATGTGGGTGTCATCCGCATAGCTATGGTAACTTATTTTGTTGTTTTTCATTATCTGAGCCAGTGGTAGCATGTAGATGTTAAAGAGAAGAGGCCCCAAGATGGAGCCTTGAGGAACCCCGTATGTCATATTTGTCAACTCAGATGTGTATTTACCTATAGAAACAACGTTGTTTCTGTCCTTTAAGTTGGATTCACAGATAGTCTTCAGAATTAAGAGTATTTATACATTTTTCAAGACGCTAACTCATGTTCACTCAAAAGGTATCTGTACAATTCTCTTTCTACCCATTCATTAGTCACCACCAGCCATCTACAATAAATAAATAAGAGAAATAGAGATTGGACTTGATAGTCTTCCAGCCAGTCAAAGTGCTCCTACAGATGTACAGATGTAGCACTCCAGATAGGACTCCACCCAGCGGATTCCAACCAAAAACCCAGCGTTTACCAGTGGCTGGGAGATTAAAGCCCTCCCACTATTTCCTGAGAGGGCGTTGCCAAATTTCCCCATTTGTTCAATTTCAGGATTTAACCATGAGATGGCGCTTCATTCACAAATACACAAAGACAACTTGGTGTTGTAGACCTTAGTTTGTTTGCAATGTTTGCAGCTCTGCAGTTGTGTTGCTGAATACTGTAGCATTTAATCACTTATTTGTTATGGTTTTCACAGGCTGCTATAACGAAAAAACATCAATATTTTAGATCAAATAAAGTATATCTAATCTTATTATCTTAATTGTAATTAAATAATATATAGTCTTTATATATTAAATAATCATAATAATAATGTAAATGTTTACACTTCTTTATTTGTTATGCTCATACTTTTACCTTTACAATAGTTTGCTTTAATATGCAGTATATTCTTTGAAATATTGTTGTGGTGTACACAGTACAGTAGATCAACTCATACATTATCACGTATTATACAGTAATGTGTTGTATTATTAAGTAATATCATACATTAACCCCATTATAGCAGATGCCACATTGAATGGATGAACACATTTATGCATCAATAATTACAACGGAGTATTTCTAAATATAAGTTGTACAAATACTTATATGTATTTAATACTAATAACATAATGATTAATTTTACTTTCAGATGATAATAATTTTCACTTGGGCAATTGACAATTTTGAATGCAGGACATTTACTTCTAACACGTATTTTTACTTAGGTAAATAATCTGAATACTTCTTCCACCTCTGATTTTAACCTGTCACTGTTTTTAAAACTTTAATTAAATGTTTGATATTTCACACATTTTTTGGGCATTCTATTTATTTATTTTTTCAAATCGTTTTTATTGTTTTATTGTTTATAAGTCAGGCTTCATTCTTTTATTTTCCACACACAGCTCTGAAAGTAGGGAATGTACCTGTGTTCAAAGCACTTCAAGGAATAGAAAGGGCGATAGGGCATTTATCCATCGGGGCTCCACCCACTGTACCCATAGAGTCCAGTGGAGTACAGTGGACTCTATGGTCCACTGTACTCCACTGACAGGGGCCCTCTACCTAGGGGCCCTGTCTTTCCTATGCCGCTAGCTGAAGAGGGTGTAGGATGACAGTCAGGAGGTCGCGCATTCAGGTAAGCTCGCCCTGATTGGCCGGCTATGTTTATACAACTTCAGTGTGTGAACGCTCGCGTATCATTGATGAGTGTAGTACCCATAGAGTCCAGTAGAGGGCTCCGCCTGTGCTTATAGAACTAGGGCAACAATACGTAACCCCCCGTTATTTCTGTGTTTGTGTGTGTGTGTGTGTGTGTGTGTGTGTGTGTGTGTGTGTGTGTGTGTGTGTGTGTGTGTGTGTGTGTGTGTGTGTGTGTGTGTGTGTGTGTGTGTGTGTGTGTTTTGCTGGGGACCTTTGTTGTATAATGTCCCTTCTATTCTTTTATTTTCCTGTCACCTATCTAAACAATAGCACAAATGCCCATAGAGTGTGTTTTGGCTCACCCTGCACGCTCAGCTCGGTGTGTGCGGTGATGTTGTGGTTCTTGTTGGCGGCGGTACAGCTGTAGGAGCCGGAGTCATCGTCAGTGACGCTCTGGATGATAAGATTACTGCCCACCAGCAGAGAGTACTTTTTATTCCTACAGAGGAAGAGAGGGAGGTTCTTTCTATTACCACGTTTATATTCAACAGTTCCTTACCTCTGTATAATATTCATCATTGTTAAAGAACACACATTCTGTCCACAATTCCTGTGAAAAGACCAAAACTAAAAATCTTCAGTCTGTCCCTTAGTAATTACATTCTGTCCTACCCTGTCTCAGTAGTGCCTGCTAAAGCCTTAATTCTTTAAAATGACTCAAACATACAAATAGAGGTGGGATTCAACAAAGTACATTTACTCAAGTACTGTATTTAAGTACAATTTTGAGGTAATTTACTTGAGTATATCCATTCTATGCTACTTCATATTTCTCCTCCAGTACAATTTAGAAGCCAATATTGTACTTTTAACTTTGCTCCATTTATCTGACAGCTTTAGTTACATTACAGATTCAGATAAGAAGAAGATGAACCTTTATTAAGCGTTTTTTCACTCTGGCTTGTATTTTTTTAATACACACACACACAGTCATCATCATCGGCGGTCACTCGTAGTCGAGTATGACTGTCCTCCTTCTTGGTCCCTGTGGGTCTTCAGGTGAGCATAGAGGCCGATTCTGGACCCGATTATTCTTGTGCAGTGTGGACAGGGGAATGTAGTGGTGGAGGGTTTGGGTTGGACCTGTTTGATGGTTGCTCTCTCCTTCCTGAGTCTGCGCTTGTCTTGTGCAGCATGGCAGAGGTCATCATTATATAGTGCAGCACCCTCACGGACAAGGTTTCTCCAGGTCACCCTGTCTGCTGCCATGTCTTCCCAAGCTTTTAGGTCTATGTGGCACTTCTTTAGGTTTGTTTTTATGTTATCTTTGTACCTCTTCTTTTGGCCTCCAGGGGCCCGTTTCCCTTTAACAGGACGCTGGTGTTAGTGCGCCGATCCTCCCAGCTAATCCTGAGGGATCTCTGATGGTATGCCTCAAGTGCCTTTAAGTGCCTGCTGTATGTGGTCCAGGCTTCTGATCCATACAGAAGAGTGGGGAGCACCACAGCTTTATAGACCAAGATTTTGGTCTTTGCTTGGAGGTCACGGTTCTCAAAGACTCTCTTCCTTAGCCTTGAGAAAGCCCCACTGGCACAGCTGAGGCGATGGTGTATTTCATCATCAATAACAGCTTTTGATGATAGGAGGCTGCCAAGGTATGGGAAGTAGTCCACATTTTCCAGTCTGATGTTGTCAATGGAGATGTGTGGGGGTAGGACAGGCGTACTACTGTAGTGGTTGGTGGAGGATTTGGGTCTTTTCTATGTTGATGGCTAGACCAAGCTGTTTGTATGCTTTCGCAAAGGCTGATAGGATACCCTGTAGGTCCTCTTCCGAGAGGGCTACAAGGGCGTTGTCGTCCGCATACTGCAGCTCCATGATCGATATGGTGGTGGTTTGACCTTTAGCCCTGAAACGGTTGATGTTGAGGAGTTGGCCGTCAGTTCTGTACATGATGTTGACTCCCTGGGGCAGATGCTTGCTTGTGAGATGTAGGATAGCAGCAACAAAGATGGAGAATAGCGTTGGAGCGATGACACATCCCTGTTTGACTCCTGTGTTGACCCGGAAGGGTTCAGTTTCGTCTCCACTGCCACTGAGTACCGTGGCCGACATATTGTCATGCAGCAGTCTCAGTACCCGGACGTATTTTTCTGGGCAGCCAATCTTTGCCAGTACCAGCCAGAGGGCCTGACGGTTCACTGAGTCGAAGGCTTTGGTGAGGTCTATAAATGCCATGTATAATGGTTGATTTTGTTCCCGGCATTTTTCTTGCAGTTGGCGAGTAGTGAAAATCATGTCTGTCGTGCCTCTGTTTGGGCGAAATCCACTCTGAGACTCAGGAAGGATGCTTTCTGACAGGGGGGTGAGTCTGTTGGCCAACACCCGAGCTAGGGCTTTCCCTATGGTGGACAAGAGAGAAATGCCACGGTAATTTCCGCAGTCTGTCCTGTCTCCCTTCTTAAATATGGAGACAATTAAGGCATCCCTAAGCTGAGCAGGGATTTCCTCTTCTTCCCAGATTTTGAGAAGCAGGGCATGGATGTGCTTAAGAAGATCGGGTCCGCCTTTCTTCAGGACTTCTGCTGGGATGCCGTCGGGCCCAGCAGCCTTGTTGTTTTTCATATTCTTAATGGCATCCAGCACCTCACCCAGGCTGGGTGGTTCTCCCATGCTTTCAACTATGGGCTGTTGAGGGAGTTGGTCAAGAGCCTCCATCTCAGGAATGGTGTCCCTGTTTAAGAGGTCCTTATAGTGCTCTTTCCACCTGTTTGCTATTGCATCCTTGTCCTTCAGAAGCAAGAGCCCATCTTTAGAGCGAAGGGGGGTTAGGCGGCGATAGCTGGGACCATATACCGCTCTTGTGGCATCAAAGAATCCTCTTGTATCACCAGAGTCGGCAAGCTGCTGGATCTCCAGAGCCTTCTTTGTCCACCACTGGTTCTTCAGTTTCCTAACTTGCGTTTGGACGGCTGCCTTCGCTTTGGCATGGGCTGCTCTTTTCACCTTGCAGTGGATGTTATTTTGCCAGGTGATGAAAGTTTGCCGCTTGATGTCAATGAGTTGCTGAATCTCGGTGTCATTCTCATCATACCAGTCTTGATGCCTCCGCTTTTTTTGACCAAGAATTTTTTTGCAGGAGTTCATGATGGCAGTAGAAAGTGTGCCCCAGTGTTTTTCAGTATCCTCCGGATACTGTTTGGGCTAAGAGCATCCTGCAACTGTTGTTGGTAGGTGGTGTCACCCAACAGGTCGATGTTAAGCTTTGGCCGGCTCTGTCTTTTCTGCATCCTTCTTTTCCGCATTAAGCGGATAGACATGATGGAGCAAATGAGGCGGTGGTCAGCCCAGCAGTCGTCTGCACTGGTCATTGCTCTGGTGTTAAGGACATCACGGCGGTCTTTGGAGCGGACAATGACGTAATCAATGAGATGCCATAGTTTGGAGCGAGGATGCATCCATGATGTTTTGAACTTGGTTTTTTGACGGAAAAGTGTGTTGGTGATGACCAGGTTGTGCTCTGAGCACTTAGTTAGCAGTAGTATGCCATTGGAGTTTGTGTTTCCAACCCCTTCTCTCCCCAGCGTGCCTCTCCATAGGTGGTGGTTTCGTCTCCAAGCAGGATTAACTTATCCTCCTTCGGGACTTCAGATAGAATTTTGTCCAGGTCAGCATAGAAGGCCTCCTTTACTTCATCCTGTGCATCAAGCGTTGGGGCGTAGGCACTAATAACGGTGGCCATCTGACTACTGGCAAGCATCAGACGTATGGTCATTAGGCACTCGTAGATGCCCACAGGGAGTTCATGGAGGTGGTTGATGAGGCAGTTCTTAATAGCAAAACCCACACCATGGATTCGTGGCTCATTTGCAGGCTTTCCTTTCCAAAAGAAAGTATATCCGCCTTTTTCTTCCTTCAGCTGCCCTTCATCAGCCAGTCGGGTCTCGGAGAGCGCTGCAATGTCGATCTGGAACTTCCCTAGCTCTCTGGAGATGATGGCAGTTCGCCTTTCAGGTCGATCGCTGGCTTGGTTGTCCGTGAGGGTCCGCACATTCCAGGCTCCAATACGTAAATGTTTTTATTTTATTTTTTGTTTCTGACCGCGTAATGGTGATCCCTCTGGATGTGGTATTCCAGACAGGATTTTGTGAGGCAGGCTATGTTTGGGGTACCTTTTCTAACCCCCTCCCCTACTGGGGTGAGCAGAGTGGACCCTGAATAGGGGATGCTCAGTCATGGGTGCAGCTGCCGAGAAGCTCTTTCTGCCTCAGTCCAAGAGCTTAGCGACTGAATCAAACACCCATCGACCTGTGTGCCAGGTTGTGACTAGGAACTACCAGACTTCACTGTCCTGCCCCCGTTACCACTTCCTGAACGCCACAGGACTTTGTCTTCCAGGATGTAAAATGGGTAGATTCCCTTAGGGAGGACGCCTGCGCGTGACGTCTTTTAACGTGGGGAGACTGATGCGCCTGCAGCCACCACATGGTCCTTGGCAGAGAGGGGCCTGAATCCAATGGCATGGGTTAGAGACCACCCTCTGTTGCAGCCTTCATCCGCCTTCAGTGCCGTTGTGACTTAGAGTATCATCCTTCACCACTTCCGCCGTTGAGGTCTTTGGATCGCACTTTGTCTGGGACCTCCCCCTCGACCTTACCGCCATGGGTAACCCTACCAGGAGCTAAAAAGCTCCCGACGGCATCGCTCTTAGGTTCATTGGAACACACAAGGTTCTCCACCACGGCAAGGTGGCGATCCATGTACACAGGTAGGTGCAGACATGCACATGCAATACACACACATTTAAAAAAAAAAAACACGGAGGGGACTGGTAGCTGGAGAGGTGCCAGTTCACCTCCAGGGCCCAGGAGGTGAACTGGCACCTCTCCAGCTACCAGTCCCCTCCGTATTTTTTTTGTTCAATCGGGACTCGAACAAAACAGTACCCGTCGTATATAATCATTGTTGGTTTTGGTCTGTTCATGGCATTTATCGACAATAAGAAAAGATAATTAATTATCACTGGACTATATGTAAATTACTGGGCCAGTTTGGCTCTACTGGACCAGAATATTCTTTGACTGTACCACAGGGTTATACATGGATAATGTTATGAGTAATGACAGACAGACCAGCTCTGGATCATCTCCTCTCCTCTCCTCCACTGGATGCCTGGAGTCGGGTATCCAGAAGCGGAACATTCCAGCACGGCATCGGTTCCCAGCAGAGCCGTGACCCTCGACGGACGCTGGAGGAACTGGAGGTTCCTGCTTACCCCCGGCTCTGAGAGAGAGAGAGAGAGAGAGAGAGAGAGAGAGAGAGAGAGAGAGAGAGAGAGAGAGAGAGAGAGAGAGAGAGAGAGAGAGAGAGAGAGAGAGAGAGAGAGAGAGAGAGAGAGAAGGTCATCTTAATACAATTTGCCAATAAATCTGCTGCTATGACAGACTCCACTCTCACAGAGCATCAGTGGGTCTCACTGATGTTGGGGGATTTTCTCCAGTAAATGACTGCATGCTGTAGCACACACACCCTGTCTCCACAGATGTGAACAGTGACATTGACTCATCTTTCTTCTCTTGTGTAACTTAAAGTGTAACTCCAACAGACAGCCACTCATTTACTTCCTTTATCCCCCAAAACTCTTGGTCCAATGAGCAGATAGTGTTCTGTGAGTTTCTGTGAGGCACACTAGTTACAGTTGATGTGGTCGCTGTCCTTGGTGTTGAAAGGACAGACGCTTACTAGGACCGAGTTGAAAAGCTAATCAGTACTCATGAATGAAAACACAAATTCTGTATAGAAGGAAGCTGCTAAATGCAAGGATGATAACCAAAAACACACAATGAGATATTGCATATGCATGAAGATGGTCAGCAAGACAGAGAGAATGAAGCTGTCAGCCTGAAAATATATAGTGCTGATTGGAAATAAATCATAAAGAGATATAGAAAAAGCCTCCAAAATGCAATATTCACAGTCATAGTGACATATAGGTAATAACCTGTCAGGAGATTGTGTCAAAAATAATGGTTTATTTGGTCACCTGGGCTTATCATGTTGAGAGCATGTTGTAAGGATGATATGAGTAGAACATCAACATGGTAGGTGTGTAGTTTAACATCATCAGGGCTTTCATCAATGAAAAGTAGCATTAAACACAGTACAACACAGCCTGGACCAATGTGACTGTCCATCTTTGAAGGTGTTTGGGCCTTAACAAAGGTTTTAGACACATTTTGACCAGATGATTGTGCTAGTGAGGGAATTCCCAAAGTTATTGGGATTACTCCTCGGGGGACTATTAATGTCTGAACCACATGTCATGGTAATCCATCCAATGGATATTGTGATGTTTCCCAGTGGACTGAGTGGAGGTTACTGAAACCCTGGCTGTAGGAAACAAGAAATACAAAGTGCTCTTGCATGTTAAAGTCCAACGTTCTGTTCTGTTGAAAATAACCAGCTTTTATTCAGGCATTTCTAAAACAATTCTGATTATGTAGTTTTACTTGGGGATCCACACAGCTAACACAGATGGACAATGCTCATTAAGCCATTCAGTCCACAAAATGTCCAATCTTGTGAAACACCATGATAACAGAAGAAGGAGCCTGCTCCCAAAGCAGAAAGATAATATAAAGAGCCAAGAGCTTCAGTGATTAACTTAAAATGTTCTTAACCTGTTAAGCCCTGAGCCTGTTTTTCAGGTCTCAGGCTCGAAAATGACATTCCCAGAACAAATGACCATATCTTCCCTTCTAAAAGGGTTAAATTAATAATCTTTACTCTCAAAGTAATGATAAACCTGTGAGTTGGATGTAGAAAAGTCAGAATCAATATAGATGTTTTTTATTTTAAAGAAAATTCAGATTTTACATAGTAAAAAACTGTAAATTATAGTGTCCGTCCAAATATTATTTTTTACTTATAGTGAAAACTACCCTTGGATGATGGGTTAGTAGACTAAAAGCTTTAGGAATCCAAAGTACAACATATAATAAGTACCCTGTATCAAGATTGATGCAAAACAAGTGAAATTTGACTTTTTTAGAGAGGTTTAGCCAAAAAACACTTCTGGGGTCATTTGGGTGGATTTTCCATATCTCTGGAACCCATCGGTCGATTTTGATGATTGACACCTCTTTTGAACCGTTAGACCCAATATAATCAGGGGGAAGTTCCTAAATCCATCTAAACATTACCCATTGGTGAATGAGTGATGCGTAGCCAGAATGCGGTACCACATCATCGATGCATTTGCCAATGTAGCAAATGACCGTGTCCGTGTTGATATTTTTGTCCTCAAACACACTCCACTCAGTAGATTCAAAGCAGTGCTGCAGAGCTGAGTCTGACTCCTCATTCCAGCGTTGGACAGTCCGTGTCACCGGTCTGTCCCGTTTCAGTTTCTGCTTGTAAGCAGGCAGCAGCAACATGCTGATTTGCCGAAGGGAGGGCGAGGGAGAGCCTTATATCCATGTTGGAAAGGGGAATAAACATGGTCCAGTGTATTTCCGCCGCGCGTCGGGCAGCTGATGTGTTGGTAGTATTTCGGCAGGACTTTCTTCATGTTGGCGGCGTTAAAATCCCCAGCCACAACGAACGCCGCCTCTGGCCGTGAAGTCTCTGTCCTGTCTATAAAACCACATGTAAATTCTCTTGGCAGATGAAAAGCCCGGCATGTGATCATGAGGTGCTCTAAATGAGGGGAACAGTCCGAAGAAATAATCCTCACATCTGTGCACCAGTTATTATTTATCATGACGCACACCCCTCCTCCCTTGCTTCTCTCTGAATTAACAGTCCGGTCCGGGCGAAATATCGTGAATCCGTCTGGAACAATAGCGGAGTCCGGGAAAGCGGAGTTGAGCCAAGTCTCCGTGAAAAATGTTCACGTTACAGTCCCGTTGAAAAGCAATCCTGCTTCTGAGTTCATCTAGTTTATTTTACATTGACTGAAGATTAGCCAGAAGAATACTCGGGGGAAGAGGGGGTCGGTTTTCGCGTTTCCTCAGCCTCACTAGCAGCCCGGCCCGGGACCCTCGCTTTGTCTTCCTCCTGCGTCTCTCAGGTTGGACAGCAACAGGCAGCCATGGCGATTCTCCATTGTCTGACGGTGGGCTGTTGTCCACAAAGTTTCTGATTTGTAGAAGCTCCTCTCTGCTATATTGTATAGCAGAGTTGGTGTGGTCGGCTCGCATGTTAAAAGCACACGACAAAAAGTAAACAAACACTAAAATAATATGAAAAAAAGGCAAAGATATCATATGAAAGCTGAGATTCCACAGATTCCAATGGTCACTGTGCGACCAAAACTCAGGACAGCGAACACACGGGGCCAAAACGGCAAATACGTCTTACCTTTGCTGTTTTCTGATCAAAAGTTGTGTTCAATGCATATAAACGCTGCTGAAGTTTCTGTGTCACTTTGAAATTATTACTGATAATCCATCATAACATTTATGTCAATAAGAGTAGTTTTCATATATAGCTGCTATGAGAGCTACGAGAGTGTATGAAAGCTTCCGGTTTTGGGCATGCTGGCTGCGCATCACTCTCATTCACCAATGGTAATGTTTAGATGGATTTAGGAACTCCCTCTCGATTCAATTGGCTCTAACGGTTCAAAAGTGACCCCAGAAGTGTTTTTATTTTTCTAAACCTCTAAAAAGGTCAAATTTCAAGACAAAGCGAGGGTCCCAGGCCGGGCTGCTAGTGAGGCTGAGGAAACGCGAAAACCGACCCCCTCTTCCGAGTATTCTTCTGGCTAATCTTCAGTCAATGTAAAATAAACTAGATGAACTCAGAAGCAGGATTGCTTTTCAACGGGACTGTAACGTGAACATTTTTCACGGAGACTTGGCTCAACTCCGCTTTCCCGGACTCCGCTATTGTTCCAGACGGATTCACGATATTTCGCCCGGACCGGACTGTTAATTCAGAGAGAAGCAAGGGAGGAGGGGTGTGCGTCATGATAAATAATAACTGGTGCACAGATGTGAGGATTATTTCTTCGGACTGTTCCCCTCATTTAGAGCACCTCATGATCACATGCCGGGCTTTTCATCTGCCAAGAGAATTTACATGTGGTTTTATAGACAGGACAGAGACTTCACGGCCAGAGGCGGCGTTCGTTGTGGCTGGGGATTTTAACGCCGCCAACATGAAGAAAGTCCTGCCGAAATACTACCAACACATCAGCTGCCCGACGCGCGGCGGAAATACACTGGACCATGTTTATTCCCCTTTCCAACATGGATATAAGGCTCTCCCTCGCCCTCCCTTCGGCAAATCAGACCACATCTCGCTGTTGCTGCTGCCTGCTTACAAGCAGAAACTGAAACGGGACAGACCGGTGACACGGACTGTCCAACGCTGGAATGAGGAGTCAGACTCAGCTCTGCAGCACTGCTTTGAATCTACTGAGTGGAGTGTGTTTGAGGACAAAAATATCAACACGGACACGGTCATTTGCTACATTGGCAAATGCATCGATGATGTGGTACCGCATTCTGGCTACGCATCACTCATTCACCAATGGGTAATGTTTAGATGGATTTAGGAACTTCCCCCTGATTATATTGGGTCTAACGGTTCAAAAGAGGTGTCAATCATCAAAATCGACCGATGGGTTCCAGAGATATGGAAAATCCATCCAAATGACCCCAGAAGTGTTTTTTCTAAACCTCTCTAAAAAGATCAAATGTCACTTGTTTTGCATCAATCTTGATACAGGGTACTTATTATATGTTATAGTTTGGATTCCTAAAGCTTTTAGTCTACTATCCCATCATTCAAGGGTGGTTTTCACTATAAGTAATGTTTTTTTTTTGGACGGACACAATAATTTACATTTTTTTTACTATGTTCAAAAGATTATTCATTTATCCCTTTTAGAAGGGAAGATATGGTCATTTGTTCTGGGAATGTCATTTTCGAGCCTGAGGCCTGAAAAACAGGCTTGGGGCTTAACAGGTTAATTGGTTATTATATTTCGATGTTACCTTTGTCTTATCAATGATTAATACTTATTTCAATGTAGTTGTTACATTTAAATGTACAATGTCATTAATTTATACATATTTATTTATGCCCTATGTTTTTTATTCAATTTCCCTTTAATGAAAATGGTTTAAATGTATTAATTGTGTGTCTAATGAATGTATTTAGATATTCCTAAAAGTGTTGTGGGAGAGGGGGGGGGGGGTCACCTGCGATGAAAAATACGAGGGGATTTTAAATGCAAAGTACATGAGGTTATCCTGCTGCAGGATAAGTGTTCCTCCCTGACACATATTAAAATCACATCCGACACTTTATACATTCATTACACCAAATGAGACACGTGGCACTGGGAGGAGATGAACAGAAGAGATGACCATGAGATACAAACTGCTGCTGTGTCGGTGTATAGCAATACAACCTCTCCAATATGAGAGGTTGGTCGTTCTGAGCTAGTTTAATATTTATTTAATAAATACAGATACTTTTTTGCAATTGTACTGTGCAATAATTACTTAATGTAGGAAAAAAAACGTTATTATTTCATTTCATTTCAAACCTTTATTTATCCAGATTGTCCCTTGAGATCATAGATCTCTTTTTCAAGGGAGACCTGCAGCAATTAGGTTCCACATGAAACTATACTTTGATAATATCCCAACATTTTAATACATTTTTATGTCTCAACTCCTAAATATGCAACTTATGTCACTTTTTTAAATTGCTGCTTTTAATCTTTTGCCATGGACGTGTACTTATTTTTCTATATTATTATATATTATAGCTTATTCTTTATTACTGCATGCCTTTTTCTACCTGCTATGCCACTTCTGCTGTAACTCAGTAAATGTCCCCGCAGTGGGACTAATAAAGGAATTCTGATTCTGATGTATCGTAGCAGAGAGGCTCCAAACCCTTAGGCACCAAATCTACACCATGAGAGACAAACTCTGTACACTGAGACAAAATACTGCTTGAGGCTCTGCTCTTTGATGAGAGATGAATGGAAGCATCTGGACATGATATAAAGATGTATGTTAGTATGTGTGGTATGGAATGTCAGTGCTCAATATTCAGATCCTTAACTTAGAGGTTGTACTTATTGTACCAAATAAAAAATGTGGAGGTCCTTCGGTGAAAATGTTACTTAGGTAAAGGTAACCAATGCAAATGTAGTTACACTATCACACAGTATATGACATCAGAAGTTAATATTATTCATGCTTGGTTGTAAAGGCAGAGTTCGGCTGTTGTTGTTAGACACAGTTATTTAAGATGATGATTCATTTCAATAAGGATCATTTTCTCCGTTGGCTATTGATTGTTTTGATTGTCAATATTCTGAGGTAAAGTCACCAATTGACTGATCTTTCAGCTGTACTGGCATATACTTTGTGGTGGTTTAATCATTAATAATTTGTTCAAGAACTAGCATCTTCAGCTGTGCTGCACAGCATTAAAAACAATTCAGTTTTACAATACACTTTGAAATAAAACGTATATATTATTATAAGAGCTTGATTATTATTTTTGGTTTTCCAATGCAGTTGGTGAACACCTGATTTACTAGTTTAACCACTGTGTTGAATTAATGTAATAAACTAAATCAGCAATTTATTACTAATTGTAAAGCAATACATTTTTAAAGTAACCCTCCAAACCCTGTCAACGTTGCACCAATCCACGTCTCTCCAGAGGAAAACACTGCTTTACTCAAATACCATACTTTAGAGAATGTACTTAGTTACACACTGAAGTACACAGAGTATATGTCAGGTACCTGGCAGCACCCGGAGCTCTGCGTCCGTCCCGGTCCTGGTGCTGCCCGGGTTGTCTGCCAGACACCGGTATGTGGCAGAGTCCGGCGGCTGGACGCGGCTGACCTGCAGCGAGCCGGACGGCAGCACCGCCAGGCGAGAGTCGGGGTCAAAGGTCAGTGCTAGGTCCTCCCGATTCTTCTGCCAGCGGATGATGGGCGTGGGGTCGCCTGAGACCTCGCAGCGCAGCAGGGCCGTGTCCCCCAGGTATGAGGACACGGACTCCGTGGGGATGACCACCTTCAGCGGACCTGCAGGGAGACAGAGGGGTCAGTAACAAAACATGGAGTATCCATAGAATTCACTCAGCGTATATATTATTATATATTATAGTATATATTTTATTGGTTGTTTCGTTGAGTCCTCGTCTGAAGCCTACCGTTACACTGCATTGAGACTTGGATTTAGAGAAAACAGTGCCAACAGTCAAATAGCGATAACACCAAGCTATATCTATTCAAACAAATATGAACAAAGCAAAACATGTTTTTATAGCAATGTCAGGATCAATGGATAAGCATTTTAACTGTGGAATGGACTCATCAATAAGAGAACTTCATGTTTCACTGAAGCATCTTTTGGCACCTGACTGCTGAGCCATGTCTCAGCTAGATAGATACAGACGTTCCAAAAAAAGCATGGCTGAGAGTCACGAAATGGAAACGGAAGATTTAAATGAAGTCTCTTTTGAATCGTAACACGATTTGGTGTTTATATACTGACATTCAGACTTGGTATATAAACATTAATAATAATAATAATAATAGATTACATTTGTATAGCGCCTTTCAAGGGACCCAAGTCCGCTTTACATGGTGAACAAACAAACAAACAAAAGGGGAAAATAATAAAGTAAAAACATTTAATAAATAGCAGTAGGAGTGGAAGCAGGGGGACTGTGATGGTTTAGGGGTCAAAGGACATGGTGAACAGGTGAGTTTTGAATGATGACTTGAAGATGTCCAGGGAAGCAGCATCTCTGCAGGAAGTGCATTCCAGATTGTACTATTGGGAACAGTGGGGAGCTAGTATACTATATACAATATATAGAATTGTCCGTACTGTACTGTTCTTTACTGTACTTTACTGTACTGAACTGTACTTTGCTGAACTGTACTGTACTTTACTGTACTTTACTGAACTGAACTGTACTGTACTTTACTGTACTGAACTGTACTGTACTTTACTTTACTGTACTGAACTGTACTTTACTGAACTGTACTTTACTGTACTTTACTGTACTGTACTTTACTGAACTGTACTTTACTGAACTGTACTGTACTTTACTTTACTGTACTGAACTGTACTGTACTTTACTGTACTGAACTGTACTGTACTTTACTGTACTGAACTGTACTTTACTGTAGTGTACTTTACTGTACAGTACTTTACTGTACTGAACTGTACTGAACTGTACTTTACTGTACTGTCCTGTACTTTACTGAACTGTACTGTACTTTACTGAACTGTACTGTACTTTACTGTACTGAACTGTACTGTACTTTACTTTACTGTACTGAACTGTACTTTACTGAACTGTACTTTATTGTACTTTACTGTACTGTACTTTACTGAACTGTACTTTACTGAACTGTACTGTACTTTACTTTACTGTACTGAACTGTACTGTACTTTACTGTCCTGTACTGTACTTTACTGAACTGTACTGTACTTTACTGAACTGTACTGTACTGTACTTTACTGAACTGTACTGTACTTTACTGTACTTTACTGTAGTGTACTTTACTGTACTTTACTGTACTGTACTGTGCTGTTCTTTACTGTTCTTTACGGTACTTAACTGTTCTTTGCTGTACTTGACTATACTGTACTTTACAGTACTGAACTGTATTGTACTGTACTGTCCTGTACTGTACTTTACTGAACTGTACTGTACTTTACTGTACTTTACTGTAGTGTACTTTACTGTACTTTACTGTAGTGTACTTTACTGTACTTTACTGTAGTGTACTTTACTGTACTTTACTGTACTGTACTGTGCTGTTCTTTACTGTTCTTTACGGTACTTAACTGTTCTTTGCTGTACTTGACTATACTGTACTTTACTGTACTGAACTGTACTTTACTGAACTGTACTGTACTGTAGTGTACTTTACTGTACAGTACTTTACTGTACTGAACTGTACTTTACTGAACTGTACTGTACTGTAGTGTACTTTACTGTACTGAACTGTACTTTACTGAACTGTACTGTACTGTAGTGTACTTTACTGTACTGAACTGTACTGAACTGTACTTTACTGTACTGTGCTGTACTGTACTTTACTGAACTGTACTGTACTGTGCTGTACTGTACTTTACTGAACTGTACTGTACTGTAGTGTACTTTACTGTAGTGTACTTGACTGTACTTTACTGTACTGTACTGTACTTTACTGTAGTGTACTTTACTGTACTTTACTGTACTTTACTGTACTGTACTGTGCTGTTCTTTACTGTTCTTTACGGTACTTAACTGTTCTTTGCTGTACTTGACTATACTGTACTTTACAGTACTGAACTGTATTGTACTGTACTGTACTGTACTGTACTGTAATTATCTGAAGTGTACTGTACTGAATTGAACTAAACTGACTGTTGTGTACCGAACTGACAGTTTCTTTACTGTTTATTGTTTATTGCACTTTCAAACATTACTGCTGTCAGTACTAATGGAGCTAATGTGTCAGAAACAAAGAGCCCACGGTAGCAGCGGGGGTTAAGAAGAAGAAGAAGAAGAAGAGGTGAGCGAGAAATAAATAGACAAAAATGGAACAGAATAAAGGTGAGGCACAGCAGGGGGGCAGAGCTGTGAGCAGCAGGAGGAGGGCTGAGAGACACACACAGAAAAACAAAGACACACAGACACAATCACAGACACACAGACAGAGACAGTGTGGACAGCCAGTGTCCAGCCCGCTGTGTTTAGGACACACGCCGTTTCTTGTCTGATCAGATTGACTTCAACAACAAGCAGCCTGTAGAGAGAGGGAGACACACACACACACACACACACACACACACACACACACACACACACACATACACACACACACACACACACACACACACACACACACACACACACACACACACACAGCCTCACTGCTCTCACACTGCACAGTCTGTGATTCATCATACGGCTCATGTGTGATTATATTTCCTTCCACAGGGCCTCAGGGCAGATTAACTACACTGCAGGAATTTCAGGAATTCAATAAAGAGGAGCCTATTCATTTTCTCCTCTGTGTTGATGTTGTTCAGAGGTTTTAAAGTTAAGTTTAAACTGGTTGAATGATTACATTGTGCATACTTCCATTCCAGAACATTTGAAATATGTGTGTATTTTTGCCTTGTGAACGCCACAACAGCATTTGCACCTTCATGAGAAGCTCCTAAAGGTCCTCTGATATCAGAGATTGAGACAGGGTGTTTTAGATGGGTTGCTTTTCTGGGGGGTGACTGTACCTTCAAAGGGAACATAATCAACATGTTAGAGATTGTATTGATGACAAACTGTTTACCTGTACCCCGGTACTTGTGTGCAGCAAGAAATCAAAGAAAACTGGGACCAGCAGTAACACCAACACGCAGACAAACACGCACTGAAACTACCACACAATGCAGACAATGTAATACTTCTATGTTTAAAAATCTATCGAAATGACTAAAAGCAGTTTTCCTGTTTGTGTACAGAATAAACAATTGATAAGTGATTGTTCATATGTGAGCTTTAAAGTGTCACATTTGACCTCCAGTTGTTGTGCTGGAGGTCTTTTGTTTAATTCATTTTGTAATTAAACTCTGTAAAAAGACTTTTAAGGTGTTTTAATTTTGACTTAAAATTAAGTCAAAATGTTTGACTTAATGCAGTCAGCATGTCGTTGTGTCCCTGGGCAAGACACTTTACCCCAAATTGCCTACACCTGGGACAGTTAATTTTGTATTATTGTGATTATATATATGCCACTGTTATTAATACTGACACTTCACTTTGCACTAAGGTGTGTCTGCTGCTGAGCCTACCGATTGTTATTATATATATATATATATATATATATATATATGTTTTGATACTACTGACACTTTATTTGATATTGAAAATGTTAACTTGTATTTACATGCATACGACACACCTGGGACAGCGTGATGCTGTTATTGATATTGTCTTGAGTGTGCAATAAAAGAGAACCTACATGGCGATTAAACGGAGCCTGTATCTTACATTTCATGTAACTAAGCTTGCTTATTTCTCCTCTGACACTTTATCTTTACAGTGACCTGTGTAGCATCCTATACATCACATGTAAGTGATTATTCTGATACCATCATGTTTCATCGGTTATAAACTGGCGAAGCTTTATTTATTGTGGCTTTCAAAAAGATAATTTCATTGTATTTCAAAATGGCGTCCAACACAAGCACTATTTATTTATAGAAAGAGAAATGGTTAAGTTTGTTATTACCAGTGTTGTGAATTCAATATTTTTAATTAATTATAGTAAGGGAACATCTTAGGAGTTAGTGTAGTGAGTTTCAGAGCAGTGTAATAATTATTTGACCTAAAACTAAATGTTTTTATGAACATGACATGGGGATTTGCTAACTTTTGATTTCCCCCATTTTACACGACACAAATGGAGGCCACTATGGGCCAAAACTAACACGTAGGTTTCTGTAGGGTTCATGGTAGACGGATGCAGTTGCTCTCAGGAGGATATATAATAAAGGTGTGTTAGCTGCTGAGCCTATTTAGTGTGCATACGACACACCTGGCACAGTTTATTCATTTCACACGTAGCGTAGCGCGTGCATGTCGTCGTCCAATCCTTTTGTCAATCCTTCTTAACCGCCTTCGCTTCCGAATCAGCATTGCTATTGCATTTGACTGGTCGACGATCTGTATTTGTGTTTGCTTAAATAACTCAGACGAAGCTCATGTCTGAGGTCGGAAGGTAAACAGACGCCTCATTTACAGCAAGTGGGCGCGGGAGGTTTTTCTTCTTCTTTTTCTCTCGGTTTTTTGGCGGATTGCAACTTTAAGGTGCATACCGCCACCTACTGTACTCGCCGTGAAGTTGTTTGCGGCCTGCCAGTAAACCCAAAGCAGAAGAAGAAGAAGTGACGTCAGCGGTTAATTTGCCTAATCCACCCCCAGGAACTCATTTTGGTGTGAACACGATCTGCTTTAGTTCATCAGAACTAAAAGAGCTCTCATGAACTAAAGTTCTCATGAACTATTGTGGGAAAA